AATTTCTCCTGGGCTCAGTGCGAGCAGTTCGGGTTTTAATTCACTGCTCCAAGACTAGGCGTGGTTCAAGGTAGCGGTTATTTATACCAATGTTTACTACGTCCACGACCGAAGTTAGTCACAAACACCATATTCCTATGGTTACGCGCAGTCATCCTTCAGGCTTACGAGATCGCCAAACGGAATCTGCCAAGAGAGAATTATCCTCACGATCTCAGGGTGTTAGCCTTTACCATGGCTCTTCTCTGCAATTGTTCTATTAGAACAATCACGAAAGGATATTTCTGGAGATTCAACACATTTTTCGTTGTTGTGGCTCTCAAGGACGTCAAAGGCGTGCAAAGTTTTGGCCCTCTGGTTGTAACCCTGCAGGTTACCAACACCTCGACGCAGATAATGAACTCGCCCTATACAGGGCCAGCCTACTTCAATGTGCAGTCACTCAGTTTCCGCCAGAGGAAGAATATTAGGCAATCTTGTTTGTCAACGACAGCTCTATGACGTATTAAGTAAAGAATTAGATGATTAGCTATTATTTTCTTTATTACTAAGTGTGTAGAGGGAATTTCTCTTTAAATCCTATGTTCAATCGTTTTTTTGAACAACCCTACCGTAATGGCGTGTTTCTGAACTATTCCGCTTCGCGGTTTATCGACCAACTGGTGGTGTATTTCAGGATGTGAATTATTGAGGTTTCTGTATTCTGAAGGTTTACCCACCTCCAAACCGCTCGATACAGGTGCATTAAGGAGTAATGCAGGATAAGTAAAACATTTAGTAAAATCTAAATATTTTTTACATTTGTATACTTATCCTGCATTACTACGTTTAAGACCCACCCATTGCAGACTTGCCTCCCCACTTTGGCTTCAGAAACCTCAAAAGTATATTTTTCTAAGAGTCACAGGACAATGGCGAGGGTCAGTAAAGGGGACTTCAGAACAAGAACTTTATTTCTTCACCCAGGACCATTGCTGTTGTGCTTTCCTTCTAGTTGTTGTAAGGTAAGCAGTGAATGCATTAAGGAGTAAGGTAGGATAAGGATACAAATGTCAAAAATATTTAGATTTTACTGAAAATATATATGCCTCCATCAATAAAAAAAAGAAATTTAAACCAACTCATTAACTGTGGCTGTGAAAGAGTTCCAACAATAAAATGTAGTAGTATAGGTAATTGGGGTTCTGGACCACTTCCACTGGAGCCAGATTTATATACCTATACCACCACTACAGGGGGAATTTTTTATGCAAAAATGATGATGCGATTTAACGATAGTCATGACATTAAACTAAATTGTAATGAAAATGGCAATAGCTCACCACCATTTGGAGCCATTTTCAAACCTATCAATGCTTCTATGATATAAATTTTTATAGGTAATGGGGGTTCTGGACCGCTTCCACTTGAGCCAGATTTATATACCTATACCACCACTACAGGGGGATTTTTTTTTGCAAAAATGATGATGCGATTTAACGATAGTCATGACATTAAACTAAATTGTAATGAAAATGGCTATAGCTCACCACCACTTGGAGCCATTTTCAAACCTATCAATGCTTCTATGATATAAATTTTTATAGGTAATGGGGGTTCTGGACCTCTTCCACTGGAGCCATATTTATATACCTATACCACCACTACAGGGGGAATTTTTTATGTGTAAATGATGATGCGATTTAACGATCGTCATAAGTCGTATTAAAAGAAACATCAATATTAATTAATAATGAATAAAATTTACTATAGCCCACGAGGATATTGGAAAGGTGTAGGAGCAATACAAAAAAATAGCCAACGCGGCTAAGGTATCTAAAGATGTAGCCAAGGATTGGCTAAAGAAACAAGCGATGTGGCAAATATACTTACCAGCACCGCGTTATATACCGAGGAAAAAGTTTGATATTTTTACAACTAATGAAGTTCATCAGGCTGACCTCTTGTTTCTTCCCCACGATAAGGTAAGACGCAAAACGTATAAATATGCTTTAACCGTAGTGGATGTGGCTAGTCGATACAAAGAGGCTGAGCCATTACCCTCGAAGGATTCAACAGAAGTAGCTAATGCACTGATCTGCATATATAAACGCGGACCACTAAAATGGCCTAAGCTATTTCAAGTAGATCCCTGTCGCGAGTTTATGGGAATCGGTAACTAAACTGTTAACAAAGAACGATGTCGAAATCAGGCGTGGTGAAAAAGAGGTCCACCGTAGTCAAGCTATGGTTGAAAGATTTAACCGGACATTAGCGTAACGTTTGTTTGGTTATCAGTATGGGATCGAAATGAAATCGGAACGATTGAGATCAACCGAATGGGTGACACGATTATCAGCTGTTGTATCAGCGCTGAATAATGAAGTAACTAGATTAATCGGGAAGAAACCATCCGATGCGATTAAAATGAAATCCGTGACTTCCGAATCTTCAGCACCGAGGAGAGGCAAAGAACAAAAACTTCTGGATAGAGTTAGCGTAAGATATTTATATCAGCCCGGTGAACTTGAAGGAGGCCTACGTCGGCAACCGATCCGATTTGGTCTCTTAAGACATAACATTAGTCAATCGGTTATGACAGAAGGAGAGCCTATTCTTTATTATCTTAAAGATGGACCGGGCAGGGCATTTGTACGAGAAGAGTTGCTCATAGTTCCCAACGATACTGTATTACCACCCTATATAACCATAAGCATAGGTAGTTACACCATCCTAATCAATCCATCTTTTTGTATCTAAGGGGGATAATGATGTCTTGTTCATTCTTAATCCATATATCCTATGATTGTAACTTCTTAAAGAGTTCATCTCGTGTTTGAATGTTCTACCGTTGAATAATGCTTCTTTATACTGTTCGTGTTTAATATGCTTTTTTACCACATACTTTTTAACACCCTTAGCTTTTCTTATCTCTCCATTATCGGACTTCCTTATAGAATACATCTTAGGTCTTAATCCGACATACTCCGCTATAGGAGTCCCAGCACATTCATCCTTCATCTTATGTAACACCTTTTTATTTACTACGCTGTGCAGTGGATTATCTTTTGGGTAATCGCTTGTGTCATACACATCTATTTTTTCTGCCATATCTTTATACACATCCTCGGTTTGTATTTCCATCAACAAAGAATCTGTATGGGTATATAACACCTCGCATCTATCGCAATATTGCTTCTTAAGTTTGTTGTAATAAAAGTCATACATTAAGTGTTTTGACAAGTCAAGAATACTCATACCTACGTACACTGGTCTGTTGAATTTATTTACTCTTCTGCATATGCAGCGCCGCTAAGTCATTATCGAACATCTTGCTTCTGTTAAAAGCCGGACTGGCTATAAGTTTCCTGAGTCTTTCTTCCTCATTAGATCTGACTAATTTAACATCAACACGCTCCCTTAGATTCTCCATAGTTGGTAGCTATCTCTCTTAAATCTGTGTTCAGCCTTATATAGGGCTCCATCCAAGGACTTTGATCAAACTTTAGAACTCTGTTTATTTTCTTTAGTTTCATACCTAACGATAGATATAACTGGAGATTTCTGTAGTGAACTATATATTTTGTCTTATCCATCAAATTTCGTACGAGTTTTTCTACGTTAGCTAACCCTGTGTTACCCATCAAGGAGTGTTGATATTCCGACATCCAATCTTTATTCACCATTAATCTTTCGGGAGCTTGCGGATAACTGTTATGGTCTTTATGTAACGAATTTGGATATTCCAAGTCAACTTCTAGTATGTCCCCTTTATTCACATTGATATTATGGATATCATTCACTTCGATATCATCGATCCACTCAAAACCACCCGTGGGTAAAGGTTGACATATAGCCCATCCGTACAAATTGTTGGCGTCGAGATATAATATGTGCGTGTCGGGTTTACTCGGATCATATCCTTCCACTAATTTATTATTAGCCTTAGAATACCTTTCGCTACCATCGATATACCACCTCTTAATCCTTTCTCAATAAACAAGTGCATATCGTAATCGGTGAGTAATTTTAGTTCTACACCGGTCTTCTTCAACAATGCATCCCACGATAGTCCAGGACTGGAATAGTACCATGCCGGATCCAAGCCGTATTGTTTTAAACATGTCTTTCTAAATATCTCGAATATATCGGCGAGTAACAGTACATCGGTTTTTAAGTACAGATCGTGATAATCACCTAAATTCTTACAACCTATTTTATCCCACACCGTCAGAGCGTGTTCATAATCGGCATCTGTTATTTTAGATTCTGTTAAGTTACTATAAAATGATTCAAGGGGCGGTAATATAGTTTCGTCGAATCTAGACCAATCATCCATATATTCGTAAGGATATACACCTTTTCACAGCAACAAATGACAGCACCGATCCGTATATTGATTTGTTATTGCAAAGTCATCGGGGTTGTTCGCACTAGCTAAGTTGTCCAGGGAAGATAACAGAAACTGTACGGAGTCTATGAATCTAAGTCCATTACTTTGCTTTATTCTGGCTTTCCCATCCTTATCTGTATAATCAATTGTTTCTTTTCAATTACCAAGAAGAGTATATAGTCTGGTCTCCTAGTAAAATGAACGAAGAACTTAGTAAAAGTGATGAATATCACTTCGTTAAAAATAATGGTATACGTGTTAGTAAAAATAATAGAGAATATTTTCATTACAATTTAGTTTAATGTCATGACTATCGTTAAATCGCATAATCATTTTTGCATAAAGAATTCCCCCGGTAGTGGTGGTATAGGTATATAAATCTGGCTCCAGTAGAAGTGGTCCAGAACCCCCATTACCTATACAACTAATGTCCTACACCACAATTATTCCATTGATATTTCTAATTGGGTGGTAACAGGCATGGTGTTATTGAAGGGTGGCAACCAGCTTGCCTCAATAGTAATTATGATCATTATTATTATTATTAAAGTGTAAAAGCTTTATTGTATAAAAGCCAGTGTTTCCATCAGTAGAACATCTCAGTGTACAGTTGTGGTATCTATTGCAGCAGGCACGATGAACCGGGCCATGTTTCTGATGGGGCTTCAGCATGTTATTAACTTGCCCTCATTTCCTCTGTTCTGCGCCTACCTCCTGATGATATTCCTCTCAAAGTTCTGGCAGAAATGGACAAAACCGCTGAATCTCAAACCAGTAAGTAAATTAAGAATTAACATCTGTGATTAACATGAAAGTGTTGCTCCTGCCATGAGTAACTATTGTTCTGGCTGGAAGTTCTAAATGTCTGTCTGCCACCACCAGCAAATGATAGCATGCCTCTCTTCTCCTTAACATCAACAGATGGACATGGAGACTTCTATTTTACATGAATCTTTTCTCACCTTTAAAATATATTAAGTATATTTGTTTTTTAATTACAAATCGTTCATGGATTCACCAATCAAAACGTGGAATAAAATCTTTTTTCTTACATCAGAGTCTGTTAACTAATTTCAGTAATGTTGGGAAAGAAAGTAACCCTTTTTAAATTTCATTCCCAAAACAATTTTTTCACTGTTTTCTCAACCTGACAAAAGGGGTATATGTTTTTAAAAATCATGTTTCTAATAGTACATTTTCATTTCAGCGATTGACTCTATGATTTTGTAAAATATATCTCTACACTCATTACCAGTAAAGTTATTGCCACAAATTAAGTATTGAAACTAGTTTTCTACAGAGGAAGCCAGTCTTGAGATGTTGCCTACAACCAGACTGTAATATGTCCTTATACAACCAGACATGTTATATATGCTCATACAACCAGACTAGTAATATATCCACTTACAACCATACTAGTAATATGTCCTCATACAACCAGACATGTTATATATACTCATATAACCAGACTAGTAATATATCCACTTACAACCATACTAGTAATATGTCCTCATACAACCAGACATGTTATATATACTCATCCAACCAGACTAGTAATATATCCACTTACAACCATACTAGTAATATGTCCTCATACAACAAGACATATTATATATACTTATACAACCAAACTAGTAATATATACTCATACAACCAGACATGTAATATATACTCATACAACCAAACTAGTAATATATACAGTCCTCAAACAACCAGACATGTAATACAAACTTATGTAACCAGACTGTAATATGTCATCATACAACCAGACATGTAATATATACTCATACAACTAGACAAGTAATATTTCCACTTACAGCCAGACTAGTAATATGTACTCATACAACCAAACTAGTAATATATACTCATACAACCAGACATGTAATATATATATACTCATACAACCAGACATGTAATATATTCTCATACTACCAGACATGTAATACATACTTATACAACCAAACTAGTAATATATTCTCAAACAACCAAACTAGTATTATATACTCATACAACCAGACATGTAATACATACTTATACCCAGGGGTCCGGAAACCGTCATATGCGCCGGACATGTCCGATTGGGAATCTCAAATGTCCGTTTTAAAATATTGCTTACCGGACATTTTAAAAAGTATTGTCCGGACATTCTTAAATTTTGACCGGACATGATCAACAGTTAGGACTGAGCAGTTTCTGTCTGCAGTTGCAACACAATGAAGATTAACTACACTGACAAGCTTTGTTTGTTTTGATTGCTGTAAATACATCGTACCTACATGATAGTCCAATCGGTCAATCACTGTAATAGGCAATAAACTGAGTTGACACTGATTAATCGAGGATTAATTACTGAGAACATCTTGTTAATTTGAGTGAAAGGTGTTTACAACTGTACATTAATACCTTGCATCATCGATGTACCTCATTATCCTCACAATGTTACGATACGTAACCTCAGACAAGAAGCGAAAGTGTGACGACAGCCAGTCGACTGATGCAGATCAGTCGAGCGGATCTGCCAAACCCTCAAAGTCTGGACGATCATTTTGTAAGTCGTGGCTAACGACTTTCACTTGGTTGACATACAATGAGGATTTGCAGATTTTATTGTTTTCAGTAGCTAGTCGTATATCTTGATTGACCGCCATTTTGCTTTCTCGGACGATCGATATCCAATTTTTTTATGGTCAATAATTAAGTACAGATGAAAAAAGTATTCAAATAACTATTGCTATCAACGATATTTTAGTATTTATGATTAAATTATCTGTCTTGTTTTTAAAAAAATCTTTAGTTTAAAAAAAAACTTTTCCCGTGAGGTCACGTGATAACCAAATATGGGATAATAGTCTCGATCCAAATGTTACAACGCGTTCACTTGAGCAGACTCATGAATATAACTCATGAATATTAATTAGACCGTTCACTACGTTAACAGATCGTTATTATAACAGAAACAAACGTATGTTTTCCATGTAAATCTAAAATGATATTATTTGTTATTAATTGTCCGGTGAATTAAACAATTTAAATTGAAACAATTCATAATTCATCATATTATGAATACGTAAACTTGTAATGTGTGTGAAAAGTCGTACTAAAATACGCTATTTGAAGGGGGCGTGGCCTAAATGCAAATGTCCGATTGGGATTTTAAATTTTCCGGACCCCTGCTTATACCACCAGACTAGTAATATATTCTCATACAACCAAACTAGTAATATATTCTCATACAACCAAACTAGTAATATATACTCATACAACAAGACATGTAATACATACTTATACAACCAGACTAGTAATATATTCTCATACAACCATACTAGTAATATATACTTGTACAACCAGACATGTAATATATACTTATCCAACCAGACTAGTAACGTATTCTCATACAACCAAACTAGTAATATATACTTATGCAATCGGACATGTAATACATACTTATACAACCAGACTAGTAATGTATTCTCATACAACCAGATTAGTAATTTATTCTCATACAACCTGACCTGTAATATATACTTATACAACCTGACTAGTAATATATTCTCATACAACCAAACTAGTAATATATACTTATACAATGGGACATGTAATACATACTTATACAACCTGACTAGTAATATATTCTCATACAACCAAACTAGTAATATATAATTATACAATCGGACATGTAATACATACTTATACAACCTGACTAGTAATATATTCTCATACAACCAAACTAGTAATATATTCTCATACAACCAGACTAGTAATATATTCTCATACAACCTGACATGTAATATAAACTTATACAACCTGACTAGTAATATATTCTCATACAACCAAACTAGTAATATATACTTATACAATCGGACATGTAATATATACTTATACCACCAGACTAGTAATATATTCTCATACAACCTGACATGTAATATATACTTATACAACCTGACATGTAATATATACTTATACAACTTGACATGTGATATAAACTTATACAACCTGACATGTAATATCTACTTGTACAACCTGACATGTAATATATACTTATACAACCTGACATGTTATATATACTTATACAACCTGACATGTAATATATACTTATACAACCTGACATGTAATATATACTTATACCACCAGACTAGTAATATATTCTCATACAACCTGACATGTAATATATACTTCTACAACCTGACTAGTAATATATTCTCATACAACGAAACTAGTAATATATACTTATACAATCGGACATGTAATACATACTTATACCTCAAGACTAGTAATATATTCTCATACAACCTGACATGTAATATATACTTATACAACCTGACATGTAATATATACTTATACAACCTGAAATGTAATACATACTTATACCACAAGACTAGTAATATATTCTCATACAACCTGACATGTAATGTATACTTAAACAACCTGACACGTAATATATGCTTATACAACCGAGGTCCTGACTGACAGGATCTGAGGACTACAACTGTTGGAATGGGGATCAGGATTGTAACGTGTTACAATGTTGAGTAAATGTATTCCTATTTATTTGTTATATGCATCTCTGTCATTGTCAAAAAGTTGTGAAGTTTAATGATTTTGCCTCTGTCAGCTGATGATCCTTCACAACTTCACGTGCTGCTTGGCCAGCATGTACACCCTCTACGGCTTCATCAACGGGCTCTACAACAGCGACTACATCTACTCCAAGACCATGACAGAAGAGCTGCGCTTTGTCTACTGGGTCTACTGGATGACCAAGATCATTGAACTTCTGGACACAGTGTTCATGGTGCTCCGACATCGACAACGCCAGATCTCCTTCCTACACATCTACCACCATGCCAGCATGCTGCTACTCAGTAACGTCGGCTACAAATATTTCCCCTACCCAAACATCGCAATATTCCTGGTCCTCAACTCTCTGGTGCATGTGGTGCTGTACTTCTACTATGGTCTTACTGCTGTCATGCCAAACAACCCTCCTCGATGGCGGAAACAGCTGACACAGATGCAGATTCTACAGTTCCTTCTTGATTTTGTACTAGCAAGTTATGGATATATGTACCATAATTTCTGCTTTTATGGCCTTATATATGGAATAACTATGACATATCTGTTTTCTAACTTCTATTATCATGCATATGTACGACAGAAGAAACACCCTGAAGACAAGCTAAAGTCTAATTGATGTGTGTTGTTAACGCAGGGATAAAAGTAAAGTACCTGTTCCCCATGTTAAACTGTGCGGAGGGGAAGTAGTGTTTTAAAGTATTTAAAAGGCATACGTTATCACTATTCAGGCTAGAAAAGTTTCAAGATTGAATTGTATCTATAATTTTGTAGTTGAATGATATCCAATGTAGTCTTTCTAGAAGTCTGACATTGTTGATAACAAATGTGGATCATTGTGTAGATGTCTGTGTGTTATGGTACAAAAGTAAGTCTCGTTTTGTAGATTAGAGTGTTCCCTTCATATAGAATAGGTAGATTGTAGCATGAATCAGCTAGTTATAGTTCGGACAACAAAAGACTTGGATCCTGCTTATGTTTGATGATAGACCAGACATATGTAGTATATCAGCACCCACTGATATACGATAAACGTTAGATGCAAGATTCTCTACCTTGATCATCTTGCACTGATCGATATCTCAACCTGTAGACACTTGAGGATTTAGATCCTATTTATCAAACATTTCTTAACAATACTCATTATGTAGATCTGCTGTTATGGACAACGTTTTATCTATAGTTTTTGTTCATTCAATCAAACTGTGAATTTGTTTTTATCACATAAGATCAAACTTAGGGATCATTTCTTTACACTGTGCACATGAGGACATAAGTATCTGGCTGATGTCTGCCTCTCTCAGGTCTCACGGAAGGGACACCCCATTCATCCCATTCTAGTGCACAACTGTCAAAAACATTGGTAATAAATTTGAAACAGTATGAAAGAAATTGCGGTTTGTGTTCGTTATTGAAAATAGTCCTGTGTATGTATGAGTGCATATATACTGTAAATCTTGAAATTAATGCGAGCATGATTTAAATGCAAAAATGTGAGTGGTCTTTGCTTGCATTTACATCTCCAAATGACTATCAACAAGAAGACAACCTCACTTCACATTTTGGATAGCAGAAATACCAACTTGGACATAAAAACAGCTATATATATTCCACATCACTGTTTATTTAGCAGCAATTTCTCGTGAATTGTTACTGCTGGGTCAAGAGTTCTACACACTCAGGTCAAACTAGCCATCACTCATTACTCCAGCAACTCCAGACAGACGCCACCCATGCAACACTGCTTCTTTGTTCCTTGCAACTGCGTCAAAGTCAGACATGACCCAGCATACATGGATAGGCTTCATCACACATGGATAGGCTTCATCACACTTATCCTCAGATCTACAGCCTTTGTCTTGTCCCCTGCCTCCAAGTTCGGTCACCTGAGCTAGTTTGTCTGCAGATTGAGCATTAGCATAAGCCTTCTTCATTCGCATTCATATTGAGTCGCTAGGGGCCAGCAGTCACATTCATTTGGAGACGCATTCATTTCAAGATTGACAGTGTCACATCAGTATTGCCTTACCCCATTTTCCCGAGGCAAGTGAGTTAACTGACTATAAAAGTCCAATTTCCACCCTTGCTGAACTAGGCTGGTATTATGGAGTTACATTTTGGCTGGGCTAACGAGTCTATGCATGGTCCAATCAAAATCGCGCACCGAAATCGAAATCCGGTTTGTAAATGTTGTGCAGATTTCTGTCGATTGCAGGATTTGCAAAGCATGTGCACTGCAAACTCGTTGTCAACAGATATTTTCCAAGTCTTTTCATGTTTTTAATCATGGTGCTCACGTGTTTTGATGGACTTAGCTATGTAAGACCCGTTTTATCACACTATAGATCTTGATTATCAATCAGATCGTTTTGACTGGGCGCCACCATTTTGTTTGAAACAAATGCAAGTGATACGAGAGGTGGAATTTGATTGGTCCATAGGTCCAACATAACTCGTAATAACCACTGGTGGTGCTACGGTCGAGCCCAGGAATTCCAGCCTAGTTCGGCAAGGGTGGAAACTGGACTTTTATAGTCAGTTAACACCCTGGCCTGGGGAAGATGGCCTTACCCATGCAAGCAAACCTTCTCCACTTCCTTCCATGAAGTCATTCAAAATGTTACGCACGGAGAGCAGCTATCAGGTATATTAATATTTTTATATAAAACATTTGACATTCCATTGGACACATCCATCTGCTGAATGACATTTTTACCAATCATTAAACTTCTTTAAGATGCATGTACTACTCAATGAAGTTAAGGATCACCTGATTCTTCCATATTACTATAGTTAGTCAATTCGTTGATGGGTGATGAGGTTCTTGGCTTCGGTCCTGCTTAACACTGACGAAGCACAGGTTACATCTGGTGTAACCTCCCTAGACAAGTGACTTTGGTCGAAAAATGCCTCAGATCACCCAGCAGTAAATGGGTAGAATGAGAAAGTTATGATCATTTACTAAAGTTATCAAATATTGTTAATATGTGTCAGCAATCTCATTAAAATCAGGGCACAGAACGATCTTAGCGCTACAACTATCTTGAGCCTATGTTAGAGTATGGGAGTGCTAAGATTACTTTGTGCAACTGGGCCCAGACCTTTGACACTGATACAATACGTCTCTGCAAGTGTGCTTGTTCATTCAGAGAGCTACTGGAGTTGATGACCTGATTTTAAAAAGATTGTAGAGAATTTTTCTACATCCATATTTTTTCTATGTGACAGTTGTTGTTTAAACTTGTTACGATTTAGCAATGAATGATACTTCTTGTATTTATATTTACATCTACAGTTTAACAAAAGTTATCAGCATACAGTTAACTTCCACTCTTGTGGATTACAACTGCGTTCATTAGGCCACTTCAATTTTTGTAGTTGGAGTATTTGTATTAACTTATTTTACTGTAGTGTTTAAAGTTCTATCATGTCTTGCCAAAGGTCAAGGATGCCTTTGTACAAAGTGATCTTAGCGCTAAGGTGATGGTAGCTCCCATACCTTAACATAGACTTACGACAGTCAGTCGTAGCCCTAAGGTTGTTTTGTACAATGGCACTCAGGCGTGTTTCTCCACGTGGGCATGTGAAGCTAATGTTTGGTGTCCCTCCCTGTGATATTCCGGTAATGTGTGGACCGTGGAGGGTATTAAGTAGAAAAATATTTAGCAAAGAACTCCATCATTGCAACCTATCAAAGTTAGGCTGAGAACTTTTCAGCCACCCTCTTATCAAACAAGGAGTAAGATATTTTATGAAGTCGTGCTTTATATTTGGATCTTGTGTAGTACCATGAAATACTCAGTATCATATTCGCTTAGTCATTGGTATTTACTCATCATTGTCATGTATTAGAATCATCCAAGGGTCTTCTGTGTAACTTTGTGTGATTTTACTCTGTGGCCCAAATGTATTCCTATCTTTTCATTAATATTATTTTGAAATAAAATGTTTAATTACAGTGATTGTTGCTATCTGTTTTTTGTCCTATGACAACACAGATCGGGTCATGTACTTGAAGCAGTATGTTGCCTAGTCTACACACAGATCGGGTCATCTCCTTGTAGCAGCATGTTGCTGACTTTACATACAGGATGGGTCACATCCTTGAAGCAGCATGTTGCTTAGTCTACACACAGATCGGGTCATGTCCTTGAAGCAGTATGTTGTTGAGTCTACACACAGGTCGGGTCTTCTCCTTGAAGCAGCACGTTGTTGAGTCTACACAAAGGTCGGGTCATGTCCTTGAAGCAGCACGTTGTTGAGTCTACACACAGATCGGGTCATGTCCTTGAAGCAGCACGTTGTTGAGTCTACACACAGATCGGGCCATGTCCTTGAAGCAGCATGTTGCTGAGTCTACACACAGGTCGGGGTCATGTCCTTGAAGCAGCACGTTGTTGAGTCTACACACAGATCGGGTCATGTCCTTGAAGCAGCATGTTGCCTAGTCTACACACAGGTCGGGTCATGTCCTTGAAGCAGCACGTTGCTGAGTGTACACACAGATCGGGTCATCTCCTTGAAGCAGCATGTTGCTGAGTCTACACACAGATGGGGTCATCTCCTTGAAGCAGTATGTTGCCTAGTCTACACACAGATCGGGTCATCTCCTTGAAGCAGTAAGTTGCCTAGTCTACACACAGATCGGGTCATCTCCTTGAAGCAGTATGTTGCCTAGTCTACACACAGATCGGGTCATGTCCTTGAAGCAGCATGTTGCTGAGTCTACACACAGGTCGGGTCATGTCCTTGAAGCAGTATGTTGCCTAGTCTACACACAGAATTGGTCATGTCCTTGAAGCAGCATGTTGCTGAGTCTACACATAGATCGGGTCATCTCCTTGAAGCAGCATGTTGCTGAGTCTACACACAGATCGGGTCATGTCCTTGAAGCAGCATGTTGCTGAGTCTACCCACAGGCTGGGTCATGTCCTTGAAGCAGTATGTTGCCTAGTCTACACACAGAATTGGTCATGTCCTTGAAGCAGCATGTTGCTGAGTCTTCACACAGAATGGGTCATGTCCTTGAAGCAGCATGTTGCTGAGTCTACACACAGGTCGGGTCCTCTCCTTGAAGCAGCATGTTGTTGAGTCTACACACAGGTCTGGTCATGTCCTTGAAGCAGCATGTTGCTGAGTGTACACACAGGTCTGGTCATCTCCTTGAAGCAGTATGTTGCCTAGTCTACACACAGATCGGGTCATGTCCTTGGAGCAGTATGTTGCCTAGTCTACACACAGAATTGGTCATGTCCTTGAAGCAGCATGTTGCTGAGTCTTCACACAGAATGGGTCATGTCCTTGAAGCAGCATGTTGCTGAGTCTACACACAGGTCGGGTCATCTCCTTGAAGCAGCATGTTGTTGAGTCTACACACAGGTCGGGTCATGTCCTTGAAGCAGTATGTTGCCTAGTCTACACACAGATCGGGTCATGTCCTTGAAGCAGCATGTTGTTGAGTCTACACACAGGTTGGGTCATGTCCTTGAAGCAGCATGTTGTTGAGTCTACACACAGGTCTGGTCATGTCCTTGAAGCAGCATGTTGCTGAGTGTACACACAGGTCTGGTCATCTCCTTGAAGCAGTATGTTGCCTAGTCTACACACAGATCGGGTCATGTCCTTGAAGCAGCATGTTGTTGAGTCTACACACAGGTCGGGTCATCTCCTTGAAGCAGCATGTTGTTGAGTCTACACACAGGTCTGGTCATGTCCTTGAAGCAGCATGTTGCTGAGTGTACACACAGGTCTGGTCATCTCCTTGAAGCAGTATGTTGCCTAGTCTACACACAGATCGGGTCATGACCTTGAAGCAGCAACAGTTACTGACCCATGGGAATACGAAAGGAGACACTCTCCATAGGTTCTTGCATTAATGACCAGGTGTTGGTCATAAATCGGGCAGTTGCTGACCAAGAGTTTTATAGCTTATTGAACTACGGACTTGTTTTGACTACCCCTCCTACCCCCCAGCACCCACCCACCCCTAATAAGTTGGGTATCACTAATAGCCCAATTACTGACTGGGAGTGTTGCCAGTTTATTAAGCTGGATGCTTGTCGTGACATTCTGAGATCATTTATAGCCCAATTACCGACCTGTTGATGGAGAACCTTTGTTAAAGGCTGGGACAGGATCGCAGCTAGTCAGCTAAGAGACCCCGATATAAACAGCACCGTCAGTGAAGTCGGCAGAGAAGGGCGCTGAACACTGAACAGGACCAGACCGACAGAGCAGTCCAGAAGAAACGGCATAAGAACACGAGCCAACAGCTAACAGTCGACTCATCGCTCAGAAGGCCAGCACACTGGGACGAGCTCTTGTCACACTTGGTCGAGCCTGAAATAGCCCACAGCCTCTCTCACAGTCTCTGCCACGCCCTTGTTAACCGGTAGTAGTACCAGCGTATAAAGAAGTACTTATCAAAGCTGCTGAAACCATAGACCGTTTGTCTGTTGTGCTACATATAGAGCACGTTTGGGTTCTTCTTTGGAGCCGTGACCCGGATGCCTCTCAAAAAGGAACAGCCTGCCTGAGACGAGTGAAGACGTTCGGACCAACTTGGGTAAGTAGCTCAGATTTCTTCTGTTCATTTTTCATTGTGGCTGGCCAGGAATAAGGCGAATTTTTGACAGGGATAGCAAGACAAATAACGGGACATTTAGCTAAGCTGTCGACAACTTTAGGAGCGCAGGGAATATCGCAAGTTATTAAACATTTTGAGGGGGAACCTACAAAATTTAAGGAATGGCTGAAAAGCATAGAAAAGTACGCGGTACTAACGAATGCAGATCAGGAAAGAGTAAAACTGGTGGCCTATCAGTCAAGTTCAGGGGCAGTTAGCGATTTCATCCATAGGTATCTACAAGATCATGATCAAGCCACATGGCAGGAATTAAAGTATGAATTAACGACGAGATTTGCTGAAATAACGGAAATACAACATGCGTTCATGTTGTTGAGGGCCGTAAAACAAAAATATGATGAAAGCGTGCAGATGTTCGCGGGACGGCTGCTGAACCTGGCCGAAGAAGCCTGTACAGGGTTAGGAAGGGATGGAAATGGTGCGGCAATGGAGCGCCAATTGGTAGGATTTTCCATAGATGGGTTAGCCTATGACTATTTGAAAATGAAGGTCATGAGGGAAAACCCAGCCAACCTAGCGACAGCTGTAACGTGCGCTACGCACGAACAAAATCTGCGAGCTAGATTTGATCTAAGAATAGGAAAAGGTAGAAGGTCAATGGATGACCAACGTTGGGTCATGGAGATCGACCATTTCCGCCCTAAGGGCAAATGTTTCAAGTGCCAGAGAGCAGGCCACAGGGCAAGAGATTGTAGGGCAGCCGACAGACATAGGATGGATGACAGCCTAGCATTAATGCGAACATGAATGATCGTGGTGGGCCTTCCATCAAACCGTCAGCAATGCTGTGCTGGGTATGTAACCAGCCGGGACATTTCAAAAGGGATTGTCCAAGTAGAGCTAGGAGTAATGGGGCAGGCTATGAGGCGCGAAGGGAACAGTGAACCAAGGTTTAAACTGAACACCCCTTCTCATGATGAAACCAATGGGAAGGAGGAGGATGTCTCAGGGACATTGAGCAATCAAATAGCTAGGTTAGAATGGGCCACGAAGACCTATTTACAAATAGAATTGGTGATCGAAAATATTCGAAGTATGGTGCCAACCTTTTTGGCTTATTTGGAACAACTCCAACTACAAATCAACATGTTAGCTTTAGGGCAAGTGAGTTACTGGCTCTACTGAATGACATCAAAGTTCACCTACCTTCTAGATTCCGGTTAGGGAACGACCCAGTAGAAAATCTATGGGGTTTGAATAAGACTTTACTATGTACCACCGTACTGTTCGGTGATAAAATATTAATAATCACATCCATTCCGCTTCTGGATGTTAATGGTCAATTCGGAATTTACCAGGCTCATAATTAGCCGGCACCACTAATATTGAATGGCATAAGCACGAAACCAGATGGCATCAATAATATGGTGGCAGAGAATCGTTTGGAAACAGAGGTGATTGCAGTCAATGCACAACGAACAAAGCATGCGTTGCTGAACTCCTCGGAAGTACAGACATACATGTACAAAACCGCTTACGGGCTACTGCCATATCCGAAGCCCAATCTACCCCATCAATCTCAGCCATTTCCCTTTTCATGAAAGATGAGACGGAAGTCAGGCCCAATGTCATATTGCCTATGGCAGAATATCTGACTGCAGGACGTTAGGTGTTGACAACAACTAAGAGGTTGGACCTAACAGTAGTGTGTAATAATAATAACCGGTTTTCTTACACTATAGCGGTTTTGCCTCCGCTGAATAATTAAGTTGAACGCCTCATGTTCAGCATCTAATGATCATTTGACCTTACTCCCTTATTACCATAACGAAAGTCAGTACGAGTTGGACGATAACTTCAAACAGTCGGTCCATACACCAAATGTTTCGGACATGTTGCTATGGAAACCGTTCATGGAAACTGAACCTGACCAGGCTACCAGATAAACTCAAGGATATAAGGAATATTCCTATGGATCATCTAACTGATCAACTGAATGATTTACAGACTATAATACCAGATGATGGAACACCGGGTTGGAAGTATTTCTTAGGAGTACCCTTAATTGTAGTGGGGATACTGGTAGGGATTTATATATATAAGATGTATTAGGCCTTGGCTGGCCAAGCGAGGAATGAGTAAGAGGAATGTCTTGGATACAACCGAGTTTGAGATGGCGTCAGTTGACACTGGAAGCGGGTCGCGCCTACAGAGGAACTCTACCCTCTGCGCCACTCCTGAGACAAGGGGACCACGATCCAGCAGAGGTTGAACCAACTCCCACCATACGGGGCATCTATCCGACGCTGAATACGGCTACCCAAGGACGTCGTGAGGTCAACTACCCCCCGTTAGTTGACGGAAGCACGACGAAAACAGAAGCGGTGACGTCTCAACGAGCTGTCATCCTTGCATATGGTCTGAAGACCATATTACAGAACTTTTATAAGTTGCCTGTGAAATTAGTACACAACACCTGGAAGACTTGTTGTCTTGCACTCCGGTTCTTGGTGTGCAAAGATTTTTTATTATTTTGTGATTATATTTATGTGTGCACATTAATTTCTTCTAAAGGTAATGGACAACGGTTGCTGTGAATTGTACATATATAGGTGGTATTAATGTATTAACATGATTATTTGTAAGATATTTTATGATGAAAACTTCTCAATAAGAAATGGGCGAATGTAACACTATCCAGTGTGGCCAGAGGCTGTGGAGACTGGTGGGCTTATTGTGATCATCAGAAGAAAGGTTACTGACCCATGGGAATACGAAAGGAGACACTCGCCACGGGTTCTTGTATTAATGACCAGGTGTTGGTCATAAATCGGACAGTTGCTGACTAAGAGTATCCAGCTTATTGAACTACGAACTTGTTTTCACACCCCCTATCCCCCTAATAAGTTGGGTATCACTAATAGCCAAACTACTGACTAACCAGTTTATTAGGCTGGATGCTTGTCATGACACTAATAGCCCAATTACTGACTGGCAGTGTTGCCAGTTTATTAAGCTGGATGCTTGTCGTGACATTCTGAGATCATTAAAAGCCTAATTACCGACCTGTTGATGGAGAACCTTTGTTAAAGGACAGGGTCGCAGCAAGTCAGCTAAGAGACCCCTATATAAACAGCACCGTCAGTGAAGTCGGCAGAGAATGGCGCTGAACACTGAACAGGACCAGACCGACAGAGCAGTCCAGAAGAAACGGCATAAGAACACGAGCCAACGGCCATCAGCTAACAGTCGACTCATCGCTCAGAAGGCCAGCACACTGGGACGAGCTCTTGCCACACTTGGTCACGCCTGAAGCAGCCCATAGCCTCCTTCACAGTCTCTGCCACGCCCTTGTTAACCGTTATAAAAAAGTACTTAATAAACCTGCTGAAACCATAGACCGTTTGTCTGTTGTGCTACACCTTGAAGCAGCATAATGCTGAGTCTACACACAGGTCGGGCCATGTCCTTGAAGCAGCATAATGCTGAGTCTACACACAGATCGGGTCATGTCCTTGAAGCAGCACATTGTTGAGTCTACACACAGATCGGGTCATGTCCTTGAAGCAGCATGTTGCCTAGTCTACACACAGGTCGGGTCATGTCCTTGAAGCAGCACGTTGCTGAGTGTACACACAGATCGGGTCATCTCCTTGAAGCAGCATGTTGCTTAGTCTACACACAGATGGGGTCATGTCCTTGAAGCAGTATGTTGCCTGGTCTACACACATATCGGGTCATGTCCTTGAAGCAGCAGCATGCTGAGTCTACACAAAGAATGGGTCATGTCCTTGAAGCAGTATGTTGCCTGGTCTACACACAGATCGGGTCATGTCCTTGAAGCAGTATGTTGTTGAGTCTACACACAGGTCGGGTCATGTCCTTGAAGCAGTATGTTGCTGACTCTACATACAGGTCGGGTCATGTCCTTGAAGCAGCATGTTGCTGACTCTACACACAGGTCGGGTCATGTCCTTGAAGCAGCACGTTGTTGAGTCTACACACAGGTCGGGTCAGGTCCTTGAAGCAGCATGTTGCTGAGTTTACACACAGGTCGGGTCATGTCCTTGAAGCAGCATGTTGCTGAGTCTACACACAGGTCGGGTCATCTCCTTGAAGCAGCATGTTGCTGTGTCTACACACAGGTCGGGTCAGGTCCTTGAAGCAGTATGTTGCCTGGTCTACACACAGATCGGGTCATGTCCTTGAAGCAGCACGTTGTTGAGTCTACACACAGGTCGGGTCAGGTCCTTGAAGCAGCATGTTGCTGAGTCTACACACAGGTCGGGTCATCTCCTTGAAGCAGCATGTTGCTGTGTCTACACACAGGTCGGGTCATGTCCTTGAAGCAGTATGTTGCTGATTCTACACACAGGTCGGGTCATGTCCTTGGAGCAGCATGTTGCTGATTCTACACACAGGTCGGGTCATGTGATGTGTAATCATGTCATAGGGACTCTACTATGTTGATGACATAAAATTAATATTGCTTTTTAATTGAATTCACATCTGAATGAAACCTGTGCAATAATAACAATTTCTACCCCCAATTAATCCCTGTCCGAAATGGGTTGATACTTTACGTGGAGGGCTTGCTACCATGACACTGCTCTGGAACGTAACATGCTGCAAGGTCAACAGATGTGTATCACGTGATGTGTGCTTTGCCGGGCAAGTTGAGGGACAAAGTCTTACTGTAATTCTTTTGTGTACAGAGTCATTCTGTTGGTAACATTTAATAATATTAACATGGAGTCTTTGCATCACAGTAGCCTGGCAAGGACTAGTGCCAATTTCTAACACTGCAACAGGATGAACATACACAAAAGTTCTGAACAGAATGTTAATCTCAAGAACCAGGGCCAGTTTCAAAAAGCGATCTCAAGCGATATAATAAACTATCAGTTTTCCGTCAGGACCCACAGACTTAAGAAGTTGCAGGCCCTGACTAAACTCATCAGGTCCTCGTTTAAAGAAATTGTAGCATAAGGACCCATACAAATTTGAAACTAGATCTATGGGCCAACGGGCAGGCACCTATTTGGAATAGTGGCTATGCCGTCCGCAACTCTCATGCTTTAACAGGAACTATGGCAGTCTCAATGACCATGTGTTAAAATGTTTTCCATTCCCTCCCCGTATGTACATATCACATCATGTATATACATTTATTATTAGACATTATAAAACCCATTAAATATATATGCCTCCATCAATAGAAAACAAGAAATTTAAACCACTTCATTAATTGTGGCTGTGAAAGAGTTCCAACAATAAAATGTCCTACACCATATGCACAATTGTTCCATTGATACTTTTAATTGGGTGGTAACAAGCATGGTGTAATTGAAGGGTGGGAACCAGCTTGCCTCAATAGAAATTATTATCATTATTATTAAAGTGTAAAAAAAAATATTGTATAAAAGCCAATGTTTCCATCAGTAGAACATCTCAGTGAACAGTGTGGTGTCTATTGAAGCAGGCACGATGAACCGGGCCATGATTCTGTTCGGGCTTCAGCATATTATTAGCTTGCCCTCGTTTCCTCTGTTCTGCGCCTACCTCCTGATGATATTCCTCTCAAAGTTCTGGCAGAAATGGACAAAACCGCTGAATCTCAAACCAGTAAGTAAATTAAGAATAAGCCATGTTTCTAATGGTACATTTTCATTTGAGCGATTGACTCTATGATTTTGTAAAATATATCTCTACACTCATTACCAGTGATGTTATTGCCACAAATTAAGTATTGAAACTAGTTTTCTACAGAGGGAGTCAGTCTTGAGATGTTGCCAACAACCAGATTGTAATATGTCCTCATACAACCAGACTAGTGATATATCCACTTACAGCCAGACATGTAATACATACTTATACAACCAGACTAGTAATATATTCTCATACAACCAGACTAGTAATATATTCTCATACAACAAAACATGTTTTATATACTCATACAACCAAACTAGTAATATATACTTATGCATCCAGACATGTAATATATACTAATACAACAAGACATGTAATATATACTAATGCAACCAGACATGTTATATATACTTATACAACTGGACATATAATATATTTATACAACTTGACATGTAATATATACTTATACAACCTGACATGTAATATACACTAATACAACCAGACATGTAGTATTTACTTATGCAACTGGACATGTAATATATACTTATACAACCAGACATGTAATATATACTTATACAACCAGACATGTCATATATGCTAATACAACCGGATATGTAATACATACTTTTACAACCAAACTAGTAATATACTCTCATACAACCAAACTAGTAATATATACTCATACAACCAAACTAGTAATATATTCTCATACAACCAAACTAGTATTATATACTTATACAACCAGATTAGTAACATATTCTCATACAACCAGACGAGCAATATATTCTCATACAACCAATCTAGTAATATATACTTATACAACCTGACATGTAATATATACTTATACAACCTGACATGTTATATACTTATACAACTAAACTAGTAATATATACTTATACAACCAGATTAGTAATATATGCTCATACAAGAAGACGAGCAATATATTCTCATACAACCAAACTAGTAATATATACTTATACAACCTGATATGTAATATATACTTATACAACCTGACATGTAATATACTGGCCAAAAAAAGAAACGCATAGCTGTAATCTGTTTTTAAAACTTGACTGTTATTAAAGATGAAGGCTTGAACTCAATATATATGTCATTGACGTAACGCTAATTTATTACACAACATTTGGTGACTTGTAGCCAAAATACAGCATCTTGTAACCAAACTGGGAGAAATTGCATAGAGAAAAAGCTGTAAGCATGTTGCACGTGCAAATACGGCTACTTACCCTTTATACCGATGGGTATAAAAATTTGGCAGTCCTGCTGCGAATCACTCTCCGATGTTCTGTATACGTGACTCTCATGATGCCAAGACTGAATGAAGACTGTAGAAACAGAGCCATTGGACGTCTGAAAGCTGGAGAAATTCAGACATCAGTAGCCAGGCACTTTAACGTGAGACAGAGTACCATTTCTCGTCTGTGGCAGCGCTACAGACTCCACAACTCTACAAGAGATCGACCGAGAAGTGGAAGACCCAGGGTCACAACTGCGGCGCAGGACTGCTTCATCCGGGTGTTGCATCTTCGCAACCGGACAATCAGTGCAGCATACACAGATAACAATGTTCCTGGTCTTCGTAGAGTCTCGGCGCAAACCATCAGAAATCGTCTAAGACAGCATGGGATACGGCCAATGAGACCATATACAGCGCCTGTTCTGCGGCAACATCATCGCCGTGCACGTCTGCAATGGAGCAGAAATGTTCGACCATGGACCCTAGTGCACTGGAGAAGGATATGGTTCGCGGTTCATGCTGTATCGCCATGATGGTAGGATGCGTGTCTACAGACGGAGAAATGAACGCTTCACTCGACACTGTATTCATGAAGTCGACCGATACGGCGCTGGAAGTGTCATGATGTGGGCAGGCATGTCCGTGAATGGTAGGACAGATCTGGTGCACGTGAAGGGAAATTTAACTGCTGTACGCTACCGTGATGAAATCCTTCAACGTCACCTTATTCCCGCCATTGACGTCAGAAGAGAGATTTTCCAGCAAGACAACGCAAGACCGCATACTGCACGTGTTACCATGGATTATCTTACCCACAACAATGTTACTGTGCTGCCACGGCCCTCCAAATCGCCTGATCTAAACCCTATTGAACATTTTTGGGATCTGCCAGACAGCCTCAACCACAGACGCTTCAACAGCTGAACCATGCATTGCAGGATGAGTGGAGAAGGATTCAACAACGCCAGATTCGAGGACTCATACAGTCCATGCCCAGGCGGTGCAGAGCTGTGATCGATGCTCGTGGTTGTAACACCCGGTACTGACTTTGGCACAGTGCCATCACAGACAAGGACGTCCCTTAGAACATTAAAAGACTGTTTGTAGTGTAAGAAACATGTGCCTCATCCTGTGTAAAATTTGGTTGTTATTTATTGTGTTATCCTATTTCATTAAACATGTAATGAAACACTGATTATTCTGTTATGCGTTTCTTCATTTGGCCAGTGTATATACTTATACAACCTGACATGTAATATATACTTATACAACCTGACATGTAATATATACTTATACAACCTGACATGTAATATATACTTATACAACCTGACATGTAATATATACTTTTACAACCAGACATGTAATATATACTTATACAACCAGACATGTAATATATACTTATACAACCAGACATGTAATATATACTTATACAACCTGACATGTAATATATACTCATACAACCAGACATGTAATATATACTTATACAACCTGACATGTAATATATACTCATACAACCAGACATGTAATATATACTTATACACCCTGACATGTAATATATACTTATACAACCTGACATGTAATGTATACTTATACAACCGGGGTCCTGTCCCACGGGATCTTAGGACTACAACTGTCGTGAGAATTAGCGCAAACATTGCTTTGTGGAATGGGGATCAGGATTGTAACGTGTTACAATGTTGAGTAAAAGTATTCCTATTTATTTGTTATATGCATCTCTGTCATTGTCATATGATTTTGCCTCTGTCAGCTGATGCTCCTTCACAACTTCACGTGCTGCGTGGCCAGCATGTACACCCTCTACGGCTTCATCAAGGGGCTCTACGACAGTGACTACATCTACTCCAGGACCAAGACAGAAGAGCTGAGCTTTGTCTACTGGGTCTACTGGATGACCAAGATCATTGAACTTCTGGACACAGTGTTCATGGTGCTCCGACATCGACAACGCCAGATCTCCTTCCTCCATGTCTACCACCATGCCAGCATGCTGCTATTCAGTAACATCGGCTACAAATACTTCCCCTACCCGAACATCGCAATATTCCTGGTCCTCAACTCTCTGGTGCATGTGGTGCTGTACTTCTACTATGGTCTTACTGCTGTCATGCCAAACAACCCTCCTCGATGGCGGAAACAGCTGACACAGATGCAGATTCTACAGTTCCTTCTTGATTTTGTACTAGCAAGTTATGGATATATGTACCATAATTTCTGCTATTATGGCCTTATATATGGAATAAGTATGACATATCTGTTTTCTAACTTCTATTATCGTGCGTATGTACGACAGAAGAAACAACCTGAAGACAAGCTAAAGTCTAATTGATGTGTGTTGTTAACGCAGGGATAAAAGTAAAGTAAATGTTCCCCATGTTAAATTGTGCGAGGGGGTGGTCTAAAGTTTTTAAAAGGCATATGTTATCACTTTTCAGGCTGGAAAAGTTTCAAGATTAAATTGTATCATAATAGATGAATGATATCCAACGTAGCCTTTCTAGAAGTCTGACACTGTTGATAACAAATGTGGATCATTGTGTAGATGTGTGTGTGTTATGGTACAAAAGTAAGTCTCGTTTTGTTGATTAGAGTGTTCCCTTCATATAGAATAGGTAGATTGTAGCATGAATCAGCTAGTTATAGTTCGGACAACAAAAGACTTGGATCCTGCTTATGTTTGATGATAGACCAGACATATGAAGTGTATCAGCACCCACTGATATACGATAAACGTTAGGTGCAAGATTCTCTACCTTTATCATCTTGCACTGATCAATATCTCAACCTGTAGACACTTAAGGATTTAGATCCTATTTATCAAACATTTCTTAACAATACTCATTATGTAGATCTGCTGTTATGGACAACGTTTTATCTATAGTTTTTGTTCATTCAATCAAACTGTGAATTTGTTTTTATCACATAAGATCAAACTTATGGATCATTTCTTTACACTGTGCACATGAGGACATAAGTATCTGGCTGATGTCTGCCTCTCTCAGGTCTCACGGAAGGGACACCCTATTCATCCAATTCTAGTGCACAACTGTCAAAAACATTGGTAATAAATTTGAAACAGTATGAAAGAAATCTGGGTTTGTGTTCGTTATTGAAAATAGTCCTGTGTATGTACGAGGGCTGCCTGAAAAGTTGTAAGCCTAACCGTGAAAGACCCGTGCCAAGTCGATGGTTTTCATTTATTTCTCCACATAGTCCCCTTCCAGGTTTACACACTTTTGCCAGCGATGCTGCAAAGCCTGGATGCCGGTCAAGGAGAAATTTGCTTCAGCCACCCAAAAAAGGCATTTATTACCAGGAAAATGGCGACCGGCTAGTTCCTTTTTCATCTTGGGAAACAGGTGGAAGTCTGACGGGGCCAAATCAGGTGAATAACCACCCGGTCAATGAGTTCGAAGCCACAATCATGGATCACTGACATGGCAACCACCGATTTGTGAACAGGATCATTGTCTTGGTGGAACGGGACTCCTTTAGTGAGCATTCCCCGTCGCTTAGCTTTGATAGCTTCACGCAACTGTCTCAGTAGGTCAGCATAATATCTTCCATTGATAGTTTGGCCTTTTTCAAGATAGTCAATCAGCAGAATACCCTTGGGATCCCAAAAAAACTGAAGCCATCACCTTTCCAGCAGAAGGAACCGTCTTGGCTGTTTGGGGATCTGGTGATTCCGGATGCTTCCATTGTTTAGACTGAATTTTGGTTTCTGGTTGAAAGTGATGAATCCAGGTATCATCCATGTTTACAAATCGGGCCAAAAAATCATCGGGATCTGCTTCAAAACGGCATAAATTGTCACGGGACGTCACGAATCTGACACGTTTCTAGATCCGCTGTCAAGAGCTTTGGCACCTATCTTGCAGAAACTTTTGTCATTCCCAACTCGTTGGTGATAATGTGCTCAACCCTCTCATGAGAGATGCCCACAACACTGCCAATATGTCGAATGGTCAATCGTCGATCAGCCATCACCACGTCATGTACCCAGGTAATGTTTCCGGAATGGTTGCTGTTGAAGGCCTTCCTGGACGCGGGTCATCGTCAAGGTTCTCTCTGCCACGCTTGAATTCCGCAGCCCACTTCTTTACACTGGAAAAGGAAGGGGCATCATCCCCTAAAGTGGAGACCATGTCAGCATGTATCTGTGTTGGAGTTAGCCCTTTCAGTTGCAGGTACTTGATGACTGCCCTATAGCCAGTTTTGTCCATTTCTGGTGATTTCAATGGGTAGGTTCACAAGATGGTCTGGTACAAAGACAATAATAACGCTTCAGTTGCAGTTCTTATGTCTATGATTCATTAAATGATTTTACTTGTTGGTGGCAAAAGTTTGTTTCAATCCGACTGAGATATCCCACTTAGGCTAAGAACTTTTCAGCCAGCCCTCGTATGAGTGCATATATACTGTAAATATTGAAGTTAATGCGAGCATGATTTAAATGCGAAAATGCGAGTGGTCTTTGCTTGCATTTACATCTCCAAATGACTATCAACAAGAAGATGACCTCACTTCACATTTTGGATTGCAGAAATACCAACTTGGACATAAAAACAGCTATATATATTACACATCACTGTATATTTAGGAGCACTTGTAACACATATAACAATGTCACTCAAAATTACTAGAAATTACATAAGGGACATCTGGTGAATTGTCACTGCTGGGTCAAGAGTTCTACGCAACTCCAGACAGACGCCACCCATGCAACACTCCTTCTTTGTTCTTTGCAACTGCGTCAAAGTCCGACATGACCCAGCACACATGGATAGGCTTCATCACACATGGATAGGCTTCATCACACTTATCCTCAGATCTACAGCCTTTGTCTTGTCCCCTGCCTTCAAGTTCGGTCACCTGAGCTAGTTTGTCTGCAGATTGAGCATCAGCATAAGCCTTCTTCATTTGCATTCATATTGAGTCGCTAGGGGCCAGCAGTCACATTCATTTGGAGACGCATTCGTTTCAAGATTGACAGTGTCACATCCGTATTGCCTTACCCAGTTAGTTAAGGATCACCTGATTCTTCCATATTACTATAGTTAATCAATTCATGGATGGGTGATGAGGTTCTTGCCTTCAGTCTTGCTTAACACTGAAGAAACACAGATTACATCTGGTGTAACCTCCCTAGGCAAGTGACTTTGATCGAAATACGCCTCTGATCACCCAGCAGTAAATGGGTAGAATGAAATGGTAATGTAACTGTTTACCTTCTAGCACCTCACTAGCAGCTTGGTATCTATACTCCCCGGGAAGCTGAGAATGAAATTGAAGGCACACTGATCCATTGACAGGATCCAATACAGGACGAGGACAGACAGTGAACAGCATAAATCCTGGCGCCACTAATGCCCCTGCCCACAACACTATTACCAAACGCATTTGTTTTAGAAAGCTACAAAAATTACGATTAACTTTGTAACCAAATGGACTGTTTCTACTTTTTGTATGCATTCATCGAAGGATAACAACAATAAATGTGACATGAAACCGCTACGTTACACGATTTTATAGAATTTGTGACTGTTATCCTTCGATAAATGGACACGAGGGCACGAGGCCTAGCCAAGCGGGATCAGTAGCCATATCTGTGCTTGTAGACCTCTGTGGCTTGAAACCTTCTCCACAATTTAAAATAGTTGGATTTTGCCGAAATATGTTTGAATTGTTACCTTGTTTCGTTTTGTCGCTGTGTGTACATCTGACTACACTTCTTAACGTTATAACAGGACAGACCGACTGTCAACAACGTCTGACCGTGGCCGTGACGTCTCATAGACTAGGGTTAGAGTAGCTTCCCTTTGACAAAGGGCAGTTACTCAAGCGGACAGACCGATGGATTGCCGCGAAAGGCAATTAAAAACAACTGTTTTTTGCGTATATGTTGCTACGCCACTGTATACGAAACAGACTTCAGTTGGAACTATATTGGCTACTGTCACTGTCCGACTGACACATCACTTACCCTGTGACGTAATAAATATTAATGCGCGCATTCCAGGAAAACTCACAATGTTTTGGTAATGTTTTTGAGAGAGGGAAAGCGATTTTAAAGCACAGAATTTAAGAATGACATTATATGATAAAGAGGTTATCACGCCAAGGCTCGCTAAATACAATGTTTATTCCTAATGCAGGATATTTACCATTCCCAAACACACTCGCGTGATAACCTCTATATAAAAAAAGCACAGTTAAGTTCTTACTCTCAGGCACAATATAGTAATAATTAAATAAGCGGAGTAAGATTGAACACGACTAGCGCTTTCAACTCGTACCACGTACGAGTCTCATCAGGCCATAACTGAATAACGGACATGAAGTAGTAACATATAGTTACGTGACGTCATAACATTTAGGAGAACTATGACGTCACAATACCAAGGTGACAATGGACAAATAACTTACGCCTTTACATTTAACTTTGGCGCGTATTTATGAATGAAATGTTGCTCTTTTTGAAACAATTAAGAATTGACCTTCACTTTGTGTGAGTTCATTGGAGTATAAACCTTCATAGAGTGAGGGCCAAACTGTATGAACGTCGGAGCTTGTGAAAGTCAATTCTTATAATTTTTATCACAATTTCTTACCCCAAAGGATGTAGGCCAAGATCTAAACACAATTTTATTTAGTACGTGTGACTTCATGTTTACACTGACAGCCATACAACAACCAGCTATATCGCGGAGTAAAATACTTCCTCAAAAAGAGAGGTGACATTTAGACATTGTCGTATAGATGCACAACTTGCTCTTCAGAAACATCTTACGCAGCACATGTGTTCAAATCATATCCTCATTAGATGAGAAAGATCTGTAAAGAACTACCTCAGTAAGTCAGTCACAATGACAGCGGGTCGTAATACTTTTACATCAAGTACAAGACGTCAAAATGGCCGACACGATAAACGTGACGGGAGAGATTTCCGAAGTTGTTAATGAACCTGTGGCGGTTACATGTGTTAGTCATCATTGATAAACTGGCTGATCATTGAAAGGGGAATAACAGACACTAAGGTAAATTCATAGATTGCTGGAGACGGTCAATGTCAGCCTAGGCACGGATCGAGTCGATACTACGATAGTTTAGATGTGCATTTCTTCGTTTATTCATTAGGATAGGCCGTAGCGAGGATATTCGTGAACAATCATGCAGTCACGCTCTCTGACATTTCTCAATGTATACTGAAACGCTGAGACCAAGAACAAAGGTTCTAAATGATCAGAAAGAACGCTTATGCATGTTTTCGTGCTAGGGAATTCCCAGGGGTTTCCCCAGGAATGTGGAAGTAGTCCGTCAGTGTTTACGTCATTTCAAGAACACGATCTCGTGAAAAACGTATGAACGTCAAATTGTGTCGTTCATACACTTATGAACGTCAATTTCGCGGTCATGTGACCGACCTCTCGTCCAATGGAAAAGCCGTATATCGTGTAAACTTGAAATTAAAAAATTATTGTAGGTTCATGATCAAAATTTAGCTTATATATATATATATTGCTCAATATCTTCTCCATTTTAATACTTTGATTCAAAATAGGCACTGTAAGGCGCTAAGTATTCAGCAACTAAAACTGAGAGTAAAGTCTGAAGAAAACAATATGGGGAATAATTTAACTCTAGTATCTACCTTCAACGCTAATCATCAAAAAACATTATCCATGGTTCAACGATACCTGCTTATTTTGAATCAAAGTATTAAAATGGAGAAGATATTGAGCAAATACAAAATTATCAACAGCCAAAGACAACCCAAGAATCTTAGAAAGATTTTGACAAGTTCTAAATTTGATTCTGTTGTCATCACTCCCCAGCTTTCTAAGTGCGCTGACAAACGTTGCCTAACTTGCAGCAATATAATTGAAGGCTGTTCAGTCCAAATTACAAAGGACGCTAAATTTACTATAAAACAAAATATGACTTGTGATAGTAGAAATGTCATTGACCTGATTGTTTTACAGTGGATGCAATGAAAAGTATATCGGAAAGACAGAACTTAAATTAAAAAGAAGAATGAATCTTCACCGTTCACAAATAAAGCAGCCACACAACAGCAAGATTCCACT